GAGCCAAAAATGATGTGTTGTGGATTTATTATTTATCATTTATCTAGAACTGCGTAGAGAGGAAAATTGGAATTTCCCCTCATGTACGGAAGTCCATATTATCAAAAGCGGCCTACCATATATAAGAAGAAATCAATACATTTATTCTGGTTACTGTGACAGAACAAGGATTTGGATACAACGAGAATATAATATAAACTTTCAAATTTTACTTGAATTACAGACACAGTAATGTGAGTCAAGGTTACAACAATTTATACCAGGATTCCACAAAAATCTTAGTTTCATATATGTAACCTAATCCATTTCGGAAGAATCTTTTGGTATATCAGCCTTGACTTGATTCTTAGCCTCAGTGAAAGTGTGAGGCCGATCTCATTAGGAGACAACAGCAGGCCCCCACTTTGGACACTGCCATATAATTTACTTAGAGCGCTGAAGATTTCGCAATCTTGAGGCACCCTTTTTCGTCCTTCTGTAGTGAAAGAATATTATTAAGTGCTAAATTGACTTTTGAATGCGCCCCTTATCTGATGCCTTCTCTAAAATGACAGAGAAAGCTCAGAACGCTTAGACTCTAGACAAGAAAGGGTATTTCGAGAACTGCATGAACCTAAACGTCTCAGCAAAGCCAGATGACTTCAGACTAAGACATATCTTCTAAGAGCTTTTGGTAAAATACACATAATATCCTCTTCATCACATGCTTTCATTCTAGCTAAACTTTGAGTCAACAAAATTTTTAATTTCTTAGGAATATTGCCGATCGATATAGAAAAGGATAGTATTGTTATTAGACTGTATTTGACCTGAAAAGCTTACAGGAATATTTGCGCATTTTTATATAAATTATTGACCGAGTGTTCGTTACTACTACATTAATAATGAGTAGATTTCAACGCTACCAGCAGATTTTGAATACGAATTCTATAAGGAGGTAAGTCTAAATGAATTTAATAGCCTCGCTAGGCTTACTCAAATGCTTGTGAGAAGATTGACTTATCAATCTTTCATCGCCTTATGCGACGAGGATGAATGCAGTTTTTATTGAAGTTACGTCCTTTTAAGCAGAATAATGTGATATTTCATTAAGAATTTAAAGAAATTATGCAAAAAAGTGAAAAATAGTTAAATTAATTTTATTATAATAATATAAAAAATTTTAACTAAGATAATTTTAAGGAAGAAATTGACTTCATTAACTCAGGGTCAACTAAATGTAAATCAGTATTAAAGAAACTTCCTAGCTCTTAATTTCAAGTCATACGTAAAAATTTACTATAGCCATAAGAATTTGTCCTCTTCAATATAACTAACTAAAATGTAGAAGATAAAATCGGTGGCACGATTTCATGGCATAAAAAAGAGACTATATTTCCATTAATCGCCTGCAAGATTATTGCTTGGGGGACTTTCTTTACATGTAAAGGTGTGGTGTCGAGGGTCGCATTTTTCTCATTTACTAGAAAATGGGGCTGAGTACCCCCATTCTATTGTGAAACGGCAACATAGTAAAGTTAGTGCCAACGTAAGAATAGATGAGACTTCTTTCTAGATGCTGTCATGAGATCTACAAGCCTCTTGGTTTGATCAGAGATAAATGGGCTAAATACTAACCGCTATCGTTTGTGAATTATTTGGCCCACGAATATTCTTATTATGCACATTCATTGAAGTGAAATTTTACTCAATAATGATCTTCCAAATTAGCTACAATGTAATGTAATCATGGAGACATGCTAAACTATATTTTTAAATGTGTGTCCAAAGAAAACTTCCCTTCCGACAAATTAATAATTACTAATATTAAAGAGGATCTTTAATAATATTTCTTTCAATTTTGGCATAATGAGCCATTATCTCATGCAAATCAGTGACATAAATCAGTATACAATTAAGTGTCGTAATAAGTATAACAAAATAAATAAAAGCCTTGCTTACATAGTTTTTCGGAACAATAACTAAATTCAGATTCAAAATCTATCCGGAAATTCTTGGCTCAGAAGTACAAAGTAAAGAAAAAATAAAAGACCTTAAACTTCTTTTAGAAACCGATGAGTTATATAAGTCTTGATTATGATGAGAAGACGACTTTATAAGGCCAAAATTGATTATTGACATCCAGCTTGTAGATCAGAACTAAAAACCTAACGGCCAAAAATAGGTCGAATTAGAATTAAATTTTAATATATATATATATATATGTGATTCTTCAATGATAACTGATCCGGTATATTTTAAACCAAAATATTTTTTGCAAGAGTTAGACAGAAAACAAGAGGTTGCCGAAGTAAAGGTTTGTCTTCAGTCCCCAGAAGCTTTCAGGAAGCGCAAATTAATTGTCTCAAACAAACTCCTATCAGGACGAATTATTTAAGTGATACTTTTCCAGAGGAGGTATGTTTGGATATGGGGTGTAGAATGCAACTTTATTTTACCAATATGATGATTAATGCTAGTACACAGAGCTCACAAAAAGTGAACATAATATTTTTCAGTATATATGAAGACCAAGATGGCGCGACCTTGATCGATGCCGATAGAACGTCTGGTGATCTATCATGTCAGCGGCCCGTTGGCGGGAATCATGAATAGTGTGTCAAAGGACGCAGGACTAGGTACGCTCCACAAGTTATCCCTGCTGTGTCGACCAAGTTTATAAAACGAGGCTAAGCCAACACCATGCAAATTTACATTTTATCCGGTTTAAAGTATATTTCTGAGCAGCTTTAAAGTTTCGCGTAAAAATATACCAATCTCACCTAATTCGAAATTGTATTCGCACCGTTTAGGAACGAATAAGGAGAAACTACTGTGGATACTTTAAAAGTGAAATCAAATTGCAAGTGTTAAAATTATTTAAATTTCTCTGATTCATAAACTTATAAACAGGTACAACTTGGCTGTAACATATTAACTAAATTATGAAAAATACCTTCTAAAATTGGTTTCAAGAAGTTGTTCTTATTTATGGAATATGATCTTGAAAAATACGCGAGTTGTAAGATCGCTGTGTGAGCCTATTGCACCAGGCTAATTTACAAGGCATAAATGTACAAGCATAACTAAAAGTATACAAAGAAAAATAACTATTTACCACTCCATTCTGCTCTGTCCGGGGTAGGTTGAATAGATTCATTCAAAGGGCCTCCGCTGAAGGCTTTATCCTGGCTTTGCATCTGTAAAGAATGAATGAAACAACTAAAATAGTATATGGTTTTTTTTAGCTATAAAACTGTCTGATGGGAAGAGAAAGGTAAAGTGAATTTGAAAAAAATTTGCTAAAGTAAATATAAAATGCCTTTTGCCAAAAACAAATTTCAATGTACATTAATATTAAAAGAAATATGGTAATTAGAGGTGATTTAGCCCTATGTATTCTCAATTGGATCATGATTTATTGGATCAACTTGCTTTCTGATAATTTGGCAAAGGATATGAATAAAAGCTGTGCTTCTATGAATCCCTTAATTGATACATGTCATTACAATTACATTTTGTTTGGAAAGGCTCATATAAAGATATTGTTCTGCGGTACAAGGGAAACTAGAATGTCTAAGCCTAAAGACGATAGTCACACACCCTGCTGAGCAATAAGGATATTAAAGGACGACAACTTTGCAGTAATTATTAGTCTCCTCATGCAAAATTTTGAAGGCCTAGGGAATTGTCTCGAAATGACCATGCACAGGGAACGCGCAATTCCATACAATGAGAAGCAAGTCATCTTCATAATGTTTTATTAACTACGGCCCCTCTACTTTCCGAGGCTCCTGCTAGATACTATGAAAATTTATCAGTTAGCCAAACGGTGCATCTTTCCATGTGCTTGGACAACTTGTTGAAAAGTCGGTTTTTCGCTCGAGTTTGTTATCGACCTAAGAACCATCTCATGTGTCCTCAGAAAATTCTTCGGAGATACACATATGGATTTTCATTGAACACTTGAATAAACAATGAGTTTTTGGTCAAATCGTAGATGTGAAAACCTAGATGGTGTGGTCTTCTGTATGGTCGAAGTCTCCTTTAACTGTATAGGGATGTGGGTTAACCTCATTGTCACAACTTGGTCTTGTTGTCACAGTAATTTAGTAGAACGAACCTCGTCCGAATTCCTCTGACATAATAGTTATCGTAATTCTCAGCATCAGACCATGGACTTGGTACATTCTCAAACGTTTCACCGGCATCATCAGAGCTTAGGCGTTCTGCTCAGTGAGGCGGCAGTGTACGTGCTTCTAGGGTCTTGGGAAATATCGCCTGGAGTAAAACGCACACAGGGACTGGAACCGAGTGAAATCAGTAAACCATAAAGAAAAGGAATTTACGAGAACATGAGCGAGATCTGGCTTGGAGGTCGGAGTCTGATTAGCCGATCGATAGAGACGGGTCGGGGTGAATAGCAGGTGTGATGAGGCAACATTAGATTTGCCACAAAAGGGCACATATTTTGACGAATGGAATGTAAAAAAGTCAGAAGTTGTGATAGGGCGGGAGTTGGATAAGAGGGTGAAGAGTTGATAGATGGGCCAGGACAGCAATAGGAGTGACAGCGTAACCGCTTTCGGTAGAACATTGGTCAAAGGATAGACTTCACTTGTCTCTTTGACGAGTTCGTGTGGAGAATGGAAACACTCACTGATGTTGCCGACTACGATGCCGGCGAAGCGTTTGAGAATGTACCAACTCCACGGTCTGATGCTGGGAATTACGATAAGGATCAGGTGCGTTTACTAAGTCGCCCTGACAAGACCAAGCTGCGATATTTAGGTCAGCACACTTCTATAAATCGAAAGGATACCGCAACCATACCACGGGCCACACCATCTTGGTCTTCATATCTTTATAGGGATGGTTCGACCTTGTTTTCGCAACTTGGTCGGAGCGTCAGTGAAACCTTGTGGAACGTACCTAGTCTCGTGTTCCCTACCATAGTATTCGTGATTTCCAGTATTGGACCATTGACTGGGTACATTCACAAACACTTCGCCGGCATCGTCACGAGAGGTGTCATCGTAAGCTAATATTTACAACTTATCAAAGTGAAAAGTGAAGGCGATTCCGTTGACCAATTTTCTGTTCAACCGTTGTGGCATCACTCCTCGCACCTATTTTTTGCTCTACCCTCTAGTGCCGCACCTATTTCTCTCAGTCCCACTTCATATAGCCCATCCACTTATTCAAACAATTCTGTGTTCTCGTTTGCTCCAAAGTCACCTTAGAGTGTGCCGCCACAAGTGGTTTTATTAAAGCGTAATCATCTCCATCACCAATACTAGATGCCGATTGTAGGGCCCCTGATCTACATTATGGCCCCCATTTTTTCACTATCAGCTTGTCAATTGGCTGCTGCTAAACATCAAAACCATTGATATGAAGACCAGAATAGTGTGACCTTTTGTATAGTCGCGTTCACCTTACGTTGTATACAATTTGTTGGACCCGGCTTTCGCAGTTTGGCCATATTGGTAGGAAGACTTAGAGGAACGCACCTAATCCGGAGTCCATTGTATGCATGATAATTTCCAGAGTCGGAACGTGGTCGTGATGCATTCCCAAATGTTTCGTCGGCATCATAGTCGGCATCATAGTCGGCATCGTCAGTGAGCATTGCCAGACTTAGCATTACAATACAACCCGTCAAAGAGACAAGTGAAATCGATCTTTTGACTGATTGTCTGCTAAATAATCGAGGTATCTCTTCTTCCGCCATGGGCTAATCATCAATTCTATATCCTCGTATCACCCCTTCACTATCACGATTCCTTTTTTAACTTGCTTATTTAAGTGTGGTATGGTGTTTCCTTTTGAGTGGACGTCATGAGAACTCTTCACACCTTACGCTGGCTTTCTCACCCCCTCCTTCACGCCCATTTATCCTTGTGCTGGCAATATGGATCAGAGTTCACGATATTAGTACGCAGTCCTCCTTCCATAGGTCGTATCAGAGTCTCCCTCTTGCCCCGTAGAATCCGTCTGCTATTTCCCTACCACCCAATCTTTTCTACTCGAAACGTTATTTCCCACACTCTGCCTCTAGAGACTAAATTGAGGCTAAGAACCCGAGTTATTATCATGGCCAAGCCATTGCCTCATGGGCCACGGCTATGACTAAACACCTCTACTATTAGCCAACTAGCTCTAGTCTACACCGCATCTATCGTACTTCTGCCTATAGTGACAAATCTATGACGTCCTATGCCCTAGTTTTTTGTGTGCCAACCCACAAATTTTGTGATTCTATTTGTTTTGATTAGGCTCACTGAAGACGTATCCTCTTGGCGTCTGCTTGTTCCTTTCCAGTTTCCTTG